CCCCAAAACCCCAAAACCCCAAAACCCCAAAACCCCATAATTCAAAATTTACTTAAATTATTTACTAAGGAGGCTAAAATGGCAAATCCACTTATAGTAGAGGTCCAAGATGAGCTCACATATCTATGGTTCACAGCTACAATCCAGGATATTCAGGAAGGCAAGTTCGTAGTCAAGTACACAGACCCTTCGTTGTAAGAAGAGAGGGATTGAAAGGGATTTATTGGGTTAGGAGCATTCGTAATGTTTAGTCATTGTTTTGGGGTATTGATGGAATTTAGATATTTTCTGATAAATTAGGGAAAAGAGGGCCAAACTTCTTCAGATCTCTCAGTTTTCAGCTCCTTAGATCTAGTTTCTATTCTTATGTTCTTTCCCTCAAAATTTATCCATATCCAAGCAAACCTCACCTCAATATCTCCTCTAGAATACCCTTTAACACTTAAAATCTCACTCCTTGCTGATGTATAGTGACTGTCAAGAAGAAGCAGTGCAAGAGGGAAGAGTCAGATGGAACTCTGTTTTCAAAGGCAACTGAGATATTGACTACGAGGAGGACTCTTATGTAGAAGTAAGACATCGACCATCTGAAGGTGAACCTCTTGGATGGTGACTCGCCAAGATCATTCATAAAAGAGGGAATCTATACTTTGTCCATTATGAGAATTATGAGAATATTTATGATGAGATCGTCGTGCAAGAGCAAATAAGGCCTGTTAATGACAGAGGGTGTATTGAAATTGATGAGTTGAAGAGAGGAGCATTGAAAGTGCCGGGTCCGATACTTTCATGGGCCACTACTGATGATTGTGTTGAGAAACTGAATAATGTCATAGCAAAAACTGGAATCTACAATGCGTCTTTCAGACCTGAGGATGCAGAGATAGTGTTTATTGGAGAGAAGAAACCTGTAGATAGAGCAATTGTGCTGATATCCTTTGTCATAGATCATCAAAAAGATTTAGCTCAGATTGATATTAATCACAACAACATTGCGAAGAGCATCGAAAACAAAAAGGCCATGATCAAGAATCAAGCAGTTGAAGAAGTTCTAGTCCCAAGAGACGTCCTTGGTATTATAATTGGGAAAGCGGGAGCTAATTTAAACTTCATTAAACAAGAATACAAAGTAAACATTCAAATTATTGAAGCAGATGCTGAAGATGTTCATGATTACACAGACACAATTATCCCTGAAAATAAAGCTCTGATTAGAATATTCGGGAACAACAGGAACTGGGTAGCTGAGGCTAAATCATACATCTGTATTAACAAAAATACTTATCCAATTGAGAAAGATAAGATTGATTACTTCAGAGGCTACAAAAACTCAATTCTCAATGACATGAAGGAAAGATCAGGTTGCGTAAAAATCTTCGTCCATGATCCTATTAAAGGAAGCAACGAAGGAGAGATTGAAGCTATCGGAAATGAAGAATCCCTTGAAAATCTCAGACTGCTTATTGAAACACACATGGATTATTATGATACTTATCAAGATAAAGAATCTGAAAATGTAGAGCTGATAACACAAAAAAGCAAGTATAATTCATACGGCAAGAACTTCTACACTAACGACGACCAGAAAGGAGCTGGAGGAAACAAGAGAAAACCCAAGAGAGGGAGGAACTAAATTAATCCAGGGTTAAGCCTTAGATTCAATAAATTTTAAATAATTGGGGTTTTGGGGTTTTGGGGTTTTGGGGTTTTGGGG